CCCCCCGCCAACACACACACATACATACAAGGCAAATTTATCAGTCTATCTCATAGCATTTCGCTCTAAATCTAAATCATTAGAAAGCGAGAACCTTTCCCTGGGGCAGAACTGCTGCTTGAGCCCCCTCGTCCCCGTCCCCCCAAACCCTTCTATGGCTTCACTTGTACGTAAAAAAAGAAGAAGAATTATCAGGCTGAACTTGCTATTAAAAAAGATTTGTACTACGCTAGCACATACCCCATCTTTCATAACCTGAATCTGAACCACAACAATACCCCAACCCTTTATTTCACTGCACACGACAAAGAGACCAATCTGACAGAACCTCTCGAGGGGTAAAACTAAGACACGCCCAAACCTCCAACATAGCAGCTGACACTAGCAAGCGACATGACGCTGCGAAACAGGACCACCCCCCCCCCTCTCCCAAAAAAAACAAACCAAAACCCCCCAAAAAACTCGATTGAGTGGATGTTTTACACACTATCAAAACAATGTTAGTCATGTACTGCTGATAGAACAATAGGTTGAGGCTTCTAACCCGCCTGTAGGCCTACATATTTCTGACAAAAATGACCTGCAAGAATAAACAACACCAGCCCCGGGCTATTAGACAAAAGTCTGAAAGCGATGAGCTCAAGAAGTGTGACTTCCATAGATTTGCAGTATAATAGTAACCTAGACTATGCACTCTGACGTGAAATGTGCATGCATTTCCGGCTCACAAAGGAGCGCACTCATCATCATCCAGTGCCAGATCTGTGACAGTCATTGGCGATCATGGTTTTCCATTCATTCCTTTGCTCAGATGCTCTTAAAAAAGCTACGTTTCCCTGATCTTTCCCCGTTACGCATTTGAGCCATTTGTTTAGGTTCCCAAAGTAGGAAGCTCTGGGTCTACCCCTGTCTCGTTTGCCTTCAATTTTGCCAGTGAGAGCTAGATGTTCAAGACCTTTATGTCTTTTCAGATGTCCCGAAAACTGCATTTGTCGCTTCCTGATTGTTTTTAACAGCGAGCGCACTATTAGAGACAAATGATGGGCGAGAGGAGAAGGTGTCTCTCACACCCGCCTCTAGAGATCTAGATCTAGCGAGACAGGTGTTTTGATCTTCATTTATTTGGGCGTAATGGTGCGGCTAATTGAGCACACGCTTTGCAGACACGTTTTGTTTTTCTCCAGAGAGAGAGAGCAAATAGTAGCGGCGGCCATGACAGTGAGCGATTTAGAAGTACAAGACAATGGCATTAGCTTTCGGACGTGTCTACGTCACAGAAGCAGCAGCGGTGTGGTCAAGAGAACAAAGCCACGTACACAAAAGCGCCAAAGGGTGAGACAGTGCCCACTGACATCACGACTCGTTAACGAGAGAAAGCGTAGTCGTTGTCGCGCCGCCATATTATACGCCGTGCGTAGCAAAACAAACATTTTTCTCAACTTAAAATATTATTTGATTGACTCTCTCCTCTCACTTCTCAGAATTACACCCCCTTCCCTCCCCCCGCCCCCAAAAAAAAATCGCTTCCAGAGTAAGCACATGGTAAACAAATATTGTTACAGATATAAATCAAAGAAAATATCCAAGATTTTCTGGGGATGTCTGGGACAGTCACATCATTTCTGGAGAATGTCACTTAAATCACCGCAAGGGAATGTCACTCGGTCACTCTAGGGCCATAGAAAGTCACCCAATCACGACAGATATGAGACTGTCACCCAACGTCTACAGGTCTGAGATTTAACCAAATAACTATGAGCCCTAGAATGTCGTTCATAACAATAATGCTCGAGAATGAGAATATCACCGTATCATGCACTTTTCGTCTGAGAACGTCACCAAATCGCAAGTTGAAAAGGTCGTCCTTATAAAACAATCATTACCCCCCCCCCAACCCTCCCCCCTTCCTCCATCCCCATCTTCCCAACATTGTTATAACATTTTTCTGGGGTTAGAACACAAGAAGAAAAGTATCTTAAAAGAAAAAGACAACAACCAACAAGAACAATACGGTACGTTATTTCTCCCTCTTTGTTAGGCAGACGCAACACTACACCTCTATCAGCATGCTAGAGTAGAACAAAATCTTGTCTCGATATTGAACAGTTATTGGATTATATTTTCTAAAAACCAGACAAAATACCCCAAAAAACAAAAACCCTCACTCTTTTTAATGTTATTATCTGATGATAAAATTGCTACTGTCTAACAGTGTAATATTATTCTTTCTTGGTCTTACCCAGGCTGTTTAGGCCTATATATAGGCTATTGATGAAAATAATGTTGTACGCCCCCTACTATAATCATTTAATTTTTTAGAGCATTTATCAATCAGTGAAAGGGTGTTTATATGATCTCTACAGCCATTAAATCCAATGAGGGAGGGGGTGAAACGAATGGATTTGGAATCAGTTTGTGGGCATGGGAAAGGGGGGTGGGGTGCAGAAGTGGGAGTGGAAGATGTGAGGGGATGGGGGGTGGGGGTCCAAAATCAAGAGGGGTCTTTCACAATCTACATTTAATTTATCACAGATATTCCCGAAAAAACTTCTATTCAACAAGACAAGACAAGAGCCCCCAAGCGGTGAAGTGGGCGCCATGCTCACATTGTCATTGGTATAACAAAAGACCCGGACGAAAAGCGGCTGAAAGAAAAAAAAAACATAGACAACGACATGTCAACGTACAGGTACAATGGATGCATAGTAGTAACAGTTTTATAGTACCATAAATAGTTGCTGCGATGGTAGAACAGAATCCAGTAAGTACAAATAGATGAATTTTAAATCAAAGTTAGAAATTTGGAGAAAACAACAGGTCAACACGAAATGGTGCATGATAGTGGTAATAATAGTAAATATTTGCTGAATTGGGTGAACTGTATTCACTAAATCATTATGAGTTAGAAATTTGGAGTGCACTGGAATTGTGGAAGTGCTGAGGGGAAGAAAAATGACGTCTTGGGTACATATGAACAACCCCAAATTTTGAAGAAAGAAAAATAAACTTGTCGAAAGAGTTATGGGGGAAAAAACTCCCAAAAAAAACTTTGTATAAGAGGGGGTGATGAGAAAATTGGTATTAATCATTCAGAAATCCCCTTTTCATAGCTTTGCAAATGTTAAACTGTGCACATTAAAGACATTCAATACAACCACAAAACTGGTGCAATTGTAAAGTTTCATTTTCAGTCACTAAAATTCAAAATGTAATCTTGACTAGCAGCAGCGCACAAAAAAAGTGCACAACCATCATGCACGGAATGACTGGAGAGGGGGTTGGAATGAAAGATAAAAAGAGAGAGAAAGAGAGAGAGGGGGGGATAGGAGAAGGGCAGAGAGAGAGAGAGGAGAGAGAGAGAGAGAGAGAGAGAGAGAGAGAGAGAGAGAGAGAGAGAGGGGGGGGGAGAGACAAAAAACCCTTTCATTTTGTCATTTTGCGTGTGCAATGAAGCTCACGACCCCTATAAAGATGCTGGAAGCACACACACACTACTACATCAAGGCACACACAAACGTTAAAGAATTGATCTAGACAATGTCTTAATATTATATGAAGTATAATAGATGGCACTTTCTATGCCCTAAGCCAGGTCATGCAATGACACAAAATATGGCAATGTCATGTACCTTCTCAGTATGTCAACATAATATGCAGGCATACCACAGCTGCCAAAGCAAGACAACAAACAGAAAAGGCACCTTCAGGGGCAAACTAACAGCACAAAATGCACACATATAATAACTATAGCACACACTGCTCAAAGCATTTCATCCGTCCTCTGCCACGTCTAGAAGATGTGGACAAAATCTAAAAAGACACTAGCCTGCAAGACAAAGGCCTATATATAGTACAGAGGCACAAACCCTTAGAGGTTACGGTTATAAAAAAGAAATGCACACGCAACCGGCACACGCAACCGGCACACACACACACACACTCACACACAAAACAAATACATATAACACACACACACAAAACGTATACATATTTATTGTATATCTACATAGCAGAGAGCGCACACATATTCAAAGGTGCAAAGCTCACAAAATACAGGGGCAAATATATATATATAAGGGGCAAATATATATATATAAGGGGCAAATATATATATATAAGGGGCAAATATATTACACATATATACAAAAGGCAGCAGATAGGCTGAAAGAATCAAACAGAGAATCACTATCTTCAGCAGCCGGGAGTAAGTTGGAGCACAAGAAAGTACTTCAAAGGGTCAAGTATAAGCAGTGGTTTTTTACATCTTATTGTTGTAGGGACGGAGAAACATTGATTTTTGCCAACACAGAAAAGAGGAAGATGGGGTGAAAAGAGGAAGATGGGGTGAAAAGAGGAAGATGGGGTGAAAAGAGGATGATGGGGTGAAAAGAGGAAGATGGGGTGAAAAGAGGATGATGGGGTGAAAAGAGAAAAGAGCAGATAGGAAACTTCTCAACGGACATCCCGGAGACCGTTGACTTGACAGACAAGAGAAAGCAGACACGCCACACACCAACGTGAGTCTCTAAACATATAATAAAATAGTGCACGGTTTGGCTGAGCAATGCGTTTGCATTCCCCTCCTCCTTCACCACCTTTGTCAGTGTCAGCACCTATCTAGACTACTATGACTATGACAAGACTGTCTGTCTACAGTGAGGATGGAAATACTGACCCACAACTGGAACACAGCATAGTGCTGACAAAGTCAGAACAAAAACAAATTTTCTATCAGTCGTCAAATAAAGTTTTCGCTGTCGTGTAATGAACAAGTGCGATAGACCACAGAGAAAAGAATACTATACCTATAGCACACAAAGAAGAGAACACCTAGAGCTAACGTCAATACAGAAGACATTAAACTGAACACTGCACTCAGATCATTATTGCAACACATCTATCTACAATTTTTTGAATGTATATGAGTCTGCGAGAGTATGAACTGAGTTGATGGACAGACAAAATATTTGTTCAAATTTCCAGTACTTCTGTGTTTATAATTATATAATGCCAAATATTTAGCAGCCAGGCATACATACATATAGAGGAACCATTCTGGGAAGAAATGTTCAGTTTGCTGTTTACCAGAGTTCTCTTTAATTAATTAAGAATGATAATAAACCCACTGAATTGCGATAGGGACCAATTAAGTTATTTATCATCTAATTCTTGAACACTCAGGCGAGGAAAGAGGGAAAAGAAACACCACTTTTGTACAGTGACAATCTGAAGAGAAGTTTCCCACATGATACAAAGATATAATATATATAATATATAACATTTATAGAGCGCATTTCCAAAAAAAGTAGCTCAATGCGCTTTACATTGGAATACCCATTTTTCAAAAACCTTTCTTACTACTTCCTTTCTTCTCACGCAATATACATTAATGCACACACACACACACACACACACACACACACACACACACACACACACACACAGAGAGACTATTTTCATCCAGACATAGGAAAAGAACAAATATAATGAAAGCTAACGTTAAAAGCTTATGAAGGATAGGCCTGTAGGAACAGAAAATGTTTAAGATATAGACACACCATGAGAAAGTAAAAACACATACAATACACACACACACACACACACACACACGCAACACACACAGATGGACAGACATACCGAGATCGACGCAGAGGTACACACACACACAGACAGACAGATTGACAGACACACCGAGATTGACGCACACACACACACAGACAGATTGACAGACACCGAGATCGACGCACACACAACACACCCACACACACACAGACAGATTGACAGACACACCGAAATCAACAGACAGACAACGAGCGGGGTGCTACAAAGGCCAGCCATGACACACACACACACACTGTATGTAGCAGCAGTGGCGTCAGCAGCATGACAAGTGGGTCAATCAAGCGTCACTTACCGCCCCTCGTCTATGGTGTCCAGGTCGTCTGACAGGTTCTCCTGGCTGCCGAAAGCTTCCGTTTTGAGCCTGCAAACATGGGCCATGGTCAGGACAGGGTATGGGGGGGAACAGAAGACAGAGGACGCTGCTGGCTGGCTGGACAGTGGTCAGCTTGCTAACACATACTCATTTTTGATGCCCCCCCCCCCTCCCATATATTGACAATTTAGACCAATATGGTCGGAGGCTGCTTCTACCCTGCTTGTTACGCAAAACTGGAAATAACTTCTTCTTCCGAGCGGAAATTGAACTCCCCTCTTTTGTGCAAAAGGTGAACAGTATTATCATATTTATTAAAATGTAGGAATTGTTGTTCGTCCATCATTGTCAAGAAAGACAAGAACAGGACATCATTATACCATAGACCTCGGTAGATTGGTGGAAGGGCCAGAAAAAGTCACAGTCACAGTAAAGGAAAGAAGGAAAGACAAAGTAGTCATCTCTCCTACCTCTCTTGAAGGCCGACATCTATAGTTGCGTCACAGAAAGGAGGAGGTGAAAGGGGGTGTGGTCTACTCCTTGTTACAAAACAGAGACACTGGAAATGGCCGCAGTCCAAAAAAATCTCTTTCCTAGCAACTTTTGTCATTACAACAGCCGCGAAAGTCTATAATATAGGGAAATGTAGAGTTCTCTTCTCAGTGATAAGAATAAGAGAGACCATTTTGAGTTCTACAGACCCAGGTAAGAGATCATTTACAAAGAAGAGCAAACTCTGTCCATGACGACGTAAGTTGTTTGTGGGGTTTTTTAATAGAAAATCTGAGAAAACTTTCATATCCAAGAATGTGGCACAGTAAGCAAAAAGTTAAGAAGGACATTGGACATCTACCATATTCTCAGAACTGACAACTACTGACAACGTGGCCTAGAAACGGTAACAAATTTGGAAATCACAACTGAAACTCAAAAGGGCGAGGAGACAAGAGGTATACAACACAGCTCTACTGGACCCACCAGTGAGGACCCACAGAGGGTATGGAAAGAGGAACTCTTACAGAGGTAAAACCTCCCAGCAACGACCGACCGACTGACGGTATGGAAGGGAGGAACTCTATCAGAGGTAAAACTACCAGTAACGACCCGCAAAGGGTATGGAAGGGGATATCTTACAGCGGTAAAAGCCACAAGTAACGACTCACATAAAGCTTAGAATGGGGACTCTCACAAAGGTAAAACCCCCCAGTAACGACCAACCGACAGAGGGTATGGAAGGGGAACTCTCACAGAGGTTAAACCCACCAGTAACTACGGACAGAGGGTATGGAAGGGGGACTCTCACAGAGGTTAAACCCACCAGTAACTACAGACAGAGGGTATGGAAGGGGAAATCTCACAGAGGTTAAACCCACCAGTAACTACAGACAGAGGGTATGGAAGGGGAAATCTCACAGAGGTTAAACCCACCAGTAACTACGGACAGAGGGTATGGAAGGGGGACTCTCACAGAGGTTAAACCCACCAGTAACTACAGACAGAGGGTATGGAAGGAGAAATCTGACAGAAATAAACCTACAATCAAGGACAACCCAAACACCAGTGACATAAAAAAAAAAGACTAGCTACTCAAATAAAAAGCTGCAAGAACCCCGTGCACGATGTGAAACAAAAACTTTCAATAAAAAAATCCTTAACCCTCAGTGGACTGAAGTGTGAACAAGTATATGAGTGTTGCCAGCAGTCTGCCTCAGGCTGTTCTCAGTCACACTGTGAGCTGGGTCCAGGCCTTTTTCTTTTCCTCTCCCTTCAAATAATATCTATATTGCATCAATAATATCCGCTCAATTCCTCCACAGAAACCACATTTTATCCGCAGTCTAAGTGCAACAGTATAAAGTAAAATATAGAGAATTAGTCAATTCCTTGATTCTTTTGCATAAGCTTAAGATAAAACTTTTTGAAATGATAATCCTGGTTCATTCTTTTCTCACCTAATCTCCTTATCTAATTTCACTGCATGCTATCATTCTCCCGCTCAAAATGTGGTCTATTTATGCACCTGTCACTAACAAGAAACAATATTTTTGATTTTCATGTCACATAAATTAAAAATTTTCCTTTATTGTTTGCTTTTTACTCCTTTTTTCTTATAATTATGACATAATTTTGGGAACAGCCGTTCAGCTATTTCTCTGCTTCGAATACATTTTCAACCTTCTCTTTCAGCCTATGCACAAACCTTTTAGTTCAAAGTATAGTGTTCACTCCCCACTACTCTCTCACTAGCACTGGCTAAGCCAGAGGTCACACAAAGCTCTCCACATACACACTGCCCCACACTAACGACCAGCCTGTACCCCCCTTCCAAATCTAAAAAAAACCCCCTAATCTTTTGACCCTCCTATTCCCTCATATATATGCCCACGGCATACAAAGGAAATCATTGGCAGACCACTAGCAGCACTCACGTTTAACTGCTTTGAATAATATATAATTTGTATAAATGTGGAGGTGTAACAAATAAAAAGGGGGGTGGGGGGGGGGGGGGCGGACATGAGGGGAAAGTGCGCGCAAGGATCGACTCCAAGGGAAAGAGGGGCTGATATAGACGTGCAGTCTCCAGTACAGGACATGAAGTCGTAATAAGTACGTGCCTGGTCTGAGTGGTAACCGATTGGTCAGTAACATTGGTACTTCATGCGGGAAGTTAGAATAGTTTAGAAAGAAAAAAAAAACATTTTTAGTTCTCCATGCCACCATCATCACAGGAAGTTTCAAGACAGCACCACAGGAGCCCTGAACTGTGCGTGGACGACACCAGCACGCGTTGTAAGTTTACCGTGTAGAGTCTTCCCAGACATCTCGCGACCTCATTGCTTTCTTGTACAATCTCAGTTTTTAAAAAAAAGTGAAAATGTGACTTCTTTGTAGTTTTTATTAGTTTTAGTAAAAGTTTTACGGCACTTACAAAACAATAAGGTCATATAAGAGCCGAAGATTAGAGGTGTTACAAGAGAGTAACAAACACAAAAAAGAAGGAGGGGAGATAAAGACAATTGACGTTTGATAGGAAAGAAGAAGCAAAGCAAACCACACCAGTTATGAACTGTTTTTACTGTTTAAAAAAAACAGACAAGAAAGCACTGAGGTCGCGATCTGGTGTCCAGTCCGTCAGAACTATACATGTACTGTAGCACACATTACGCTACTATCTTTCACCCCCCCCCCCCCCCCCATATTCTGTGAGTCATGTTGAGTTAATTATGTTGTATAGTTATGCACTGCACACTCAACCCCTCTCTCTCTCATGTTCTGTGAGTCGTATCAAGTTAATTAGACATGTACACAGAGAGATATATGCACTGCACGATCTCAGAACTTTAATTTTTTTTTTTAAGTCGCACACAAAATTACAGGAAAGAAACTGAAAACTTTGCTGTGAATCAAAAGAAGACAGCGACAACATCAAAAGCCAGCCCCCAAAGGGAGGGCACCCATTCTCCCAAAAAAAGCCACGGACAAAAAACTAGGCCGAACGACGCTGCCTGCGGCCGCGCTACGACTACACCTGGTGTCCCTCCACTCAAGCCACAACACACATACCATGGTGCACATGGTTCTTGGGCGAAATCCCCCCCCCCCCCCAAAACCACTTTTGTTTTCCCCATTAACACTTTGCCGTCACATCTCGCCGATCAGCGATGTTTACCACCCAGTTTCTTTGGATTTTCCCCCAAAATGCCTTTCCCTTTGATGGTAAGGGTTTTTACTTTATGAGTCTTGTGATGGCAAAGTGTTAACAGAACTTCAGTTGAATAAGAAAGGGCAAACTATTCCAAAAGAACACTGCAATAGTCAGAAGTGTGTAAATCCATTTTCGATGATCGATCAGCTATTATAAATCAAAATCAGTTTATACTTTTGGTCACCTACGTTATCTATATAATAATATGCATCAACGCTAGAGGTCCTTTAGGTTTTTTCTTAGGCTCTGCTTTGCCGAGACAAATTTTATCACTTGTTAGGTAAAATAAGAAAATGTGAATTTTTTTTCTTCTTTTACAAATAAAATGGACATAAACACTTCAGACCTAGCAGTCAGACGGTGGTAAGAATGCCCAGTCCTAAACATATCCGCCCACCCCGTCACTCGCTAAGCACCCAACGAGTCGGGTGTTCTCAGAGGAGCTGAGGTCCTCAGTCCTACCTTGTGATGCGAGGAATTCGCAGTTTGAGATCTTCGTTCTTATTTTTCCCTCGTCCCATCGGCTCTGAGGAGACAAAACACAATCAAGGCGATGGTGATTTACTACAGTCAAACCAAAGCCATTTAGCCTCTGTGGATTACAAAAAGAATGTTTTATTTATAGTCATCTCTGTTGCTAAATAAACTTGTAACATTAGCTCACAATAAACAGTTTAAATATCTGTCCTTAATCTCCATAATACCTTCTGCGTTTATTAACTGTCTCCAAACACACAGACACTGTATTGGCAAATTGCATAATGCCATACACAGCCCCATTAACCACCCAATGGTCAGTTTAAACTGTTGAAATACAAACCTTTTCTTGATCATTGAGGAAGTGGGTGGCTTGGACCCTGCCTGTGAGGGCCAGCCCGAGCTGAGAGGGAAACAATCTCACAGGACAGATAAGAATACTCTCAACAAAAATAACAACTTGTCCACTCAAGAAGAGAACTTGGGTATTCTGGGTGGGAAGACAAAAAACCGAACTGCTACACCACAGACATCAGTAATATTTCTCTCATCAGAGAAAAGATTTTAGTTCCAAACACAGCGTATATACATAATTGTAAAGCACATTGAGCATGCTTTAGAGCATGGACATACGCTATATAAAAGCTCAATTATTATTATTACTATACAGACTGGCGTGTAAATGGCCACAGCGGGCTCGGGGGGTTCCAGCCGCAGCTCGTCTCGGCGTTGTGTACTTGAGAAAGGTACTTTACACGAATTTCCCATTCCGCTTGGACCTTTCGGAGATGAACGTTTCACTCAGATGTCCTGCCTCTTAAAAAACCTAACAGTGTTGATCGGAGCATTAAACCCATACCATTTCAGCATTTTTTTCCCCTAGCCACAGCCCGGTCATTACCTGACACACTGCGCAGGTAGTCGTGATGCTCATGGGTTTCCTCCTTCACCTTGCGTCGCTTTCGGCGAGCACCGACATTTCTGGGAAGAAAATAACAATCACATTTATACACCGAACGGAAGGACAACCACTTCACAGCATGCACTTGGGGAAGAAAGATATGTTAAACACTTTGCAGTCACACAGCCAGCAGTACAGTCACACAGCCAGCAGTACAAAATATCCCATCTGGTCACCCACCTTGGAGAGTGACTACAGTGGACTTCTCAGGCCTGGCACAGTTCTGTGCTAGGTGACCAGAACAGATAATTTTCACCGTCGCATTATTGCACCGAGTGACCGCAAAGGGTAAACAGTGATATTAATACTGACCAGTCTCGTCAGTCTTAAGCAGGGATCAATATAGAATTTTTCCTGGACTACCGACTGATTGAAGGTGTGGGGGCGGAGCAGTTAGTGTGCTCGTCTCCAAAGCAGAAAGTCCGGGTCCGAGCCTCGGTTCGGACAAAGATTTTTTTGGCCCCTCCTGCCTACCCAGCATTCATGGGTACCTGACTTCAAGTTGGGAAAGTAAAGGCGGCGTGAAAGGGAACTGGCCACCCTAACACATTATGCTGAAGGCCCAAGAAGTTGTCTCGCTAACAAAAAGGCAATCCCCAATGCCCGGATCGGATGCGGGAACAACTTTACTTTTTACCGACTGACTCAGTGCTGCTCCTTTTCAACTTCCAACCCCAGAGCTGTCTCTAATGTGTGCACATCACACATGGGACCACCAAGTTGGTAATTATTTAAGAAAACTAGACACCCCACCCCCATCTACCCAGGGATAAAATAAAGGAAATAAGAAAAAAAGACGAATCCCACCAACATTTGTCTAAACTAATCCGAAATCAAACAAAGTACTTTTGCATGAGAGGCAAGCACGTTACCTCTAGGATAACAAGATGGAGATGGACATAAAAAGAGATAGAGGGAGACAGAAAAGGGGAAACAGAGAGAAAGAGAGAGAGGGAGAGAGAGACAGATGGGGGAAAAGAGAAGAGAGAAGGAGAGATATAGAGACAGATAGAGAGAGAGATATATATATATAGAGAGAGAGAGTGAGAGAGAGAGAGAGAGAGAGAGAGAGAGAGAGAGAGAGAGAGAGAGAGAGACAGAGAGAGAGAGAGAGAGAGAGAGAGAGAGAGGGAGGGAAAGAGACAGTGAGACAGAGAGAGAGACAGAGAGAGAGACATAGGCAAAGAAAGCTTCCTCACTCAAGGATAAAGGGATGCTCCATCAGCTCCTGGGATGTGGCACGATTGTTGGGATCTGGTTCAAAACATCTGAAACAAAACAACGTACTGTCTCAAAAACAAAACAACAGACTGTCTAAAAAAATCAACCCAATAGACCATCTCAAACAAAACAACAGACCGTCTGAAAAACAAAAACAACAAAACATGTGAAACAAAACAACAGACCGTCTCAAAAACAAAACAACAGACCGTCTCAAAAACAAAAACAACAAACATCTGAAACAAAACAACAGACAGTCTCAAAAACAAAAACAACAAAACATCTGAAACAAAACAACAGACTGTCTCAAAAACAAAACAACAGACCATCTCAAAAACAAAACAACAGACCGTCTCAAAAACAAAACAACAGACCGTCTCAAAAACAAAAACAACAAAACATCTGAAACAGAACAACAGACTGTCTAAAAACACACCCAGCAAACAACACCTTCATTATACATCTGCAATACGTCACAAATCACATACCTGAACAGTAATTAATTCAGACTAACAAGGGGTTAAAGTTCAGGCTCATATGAAAGAGCAGAACAAAAGCCGTTCTCTTCTCTGCTGTTGAACAGTAAATTCAGATTTATAAGAAACAAGCTGGGCCCCCTTTCGATGAAAGGAATGATCGGTGCTTTAATATCAACTAAAAGTCATTGGCCTACTATATTTACACTCTACTGGAATGGGGCAATAAATCTTGAGAGATGCAAAAATTTATAAGGTCTAGATCTATACTCTCAAAACAAAATGCACCTCGTGAAATATCACTTCGGGATTTTCTAAAATTACAGAGACAGAAGCGTCGGCCTACAAATGCAATCGGCGAAATAAAGAAATTTAGCTTTTTGCAGCAAAACTGTCTCAAAACTGAAAAAACCAAGGGCGTCATGCTCTGGAGAATATTTCAAACAATCTTTTAGCGAAAACCGCATGTCGATTGAGGCAGCCATTAAAAAGCCTTTTGAATAGCGAAATTCGGCCACCACAAATAGATAATAGATGAAGAAAGAGAAGAAAAAAAAGCAGAAAAAGATGAGAGAAAGTGAAAAAAAGAAAGAAAAGATCACTTTTCGTAAACCCTGGATAAAATTTGAGTCCCAGTTGTATACATCCAAGGAGTTGGCGGGGTTACAAATAAACCCACTTAGTCTATCAGAGCATTAGATGTACACACAGCACAAGTGAGCGGACGACAGGACGGTGGAAAGAGACCACCCACCTCAGCAGAAATTCTTTGGCTTTCTCGGACATGTTTTCTGGAATCTGCGGGTGCATCTTGAAGTAGCCGACCTTGAACATGGCTGCCTCGGGGGAGCCCAGCTGGGAAAGAAAAGACAACCAGATTCCATGATTAGTGACTCACACTCTTTCTAGCCAGCTACACTCTATCCACTTCAGGAGGCTGCATGCAACTAATATACAAGTTTCAATTTAACAAGTTCACCCTTAGCGAAAAGCAGTTAGGGACATCAAGTGAACCTTCATGCTCATGTGGTGTCGGTGGCCTAGTGGTTAGGCTCTCGGACTCGCAACCGTAAGGTCGTGGGTTCGAATCCCGTCGGGGACCCGACGTTGTGTCCTTGGGAAAGGCACTTTACACTTCAGGTGGGAATGGGTACCCGGCTATAGACAGCGAAAGATCTTGTCAGTTTGTTAGTGTTTGAGCGCTTAATCAGCTGCTTGCACTGTATGCTTCCCAGGAGGCTGAGAATGTTTCGGAGTGTTCTATGGTCTGCTGGGGTAATAATATAGTGTAAAGCGCATAGAGCCTGCTGTTGAGCAGGGATATGCGCTATACAAATGCTATTTATTATTATTATTATTATTATTATATACTAAAAGTATTTCTAACTGAGCAGTTCTATTCATACCGAATGGTTTTAGTGCCTTGAAATACATACAGTGGTAAATCATCCCTTAAGGTAACTAGGCCAAATTAAACAAAAGCAGCCAAAATAAAGCCAGATGAAGAGCCTTAGAAAAACAGGACAAAGGCATGTTTGCATGCATAAAAAACAACAGCAGAAAAAGTTATCCTGAGAAGTATCTACAGAAGCTTAAACAAGCAATTTACCTTTCTACAAATTTGCATAATTCTATAAATTTATTGTAAAGCAACACAGCATATTTTATTTAGTTGCATGTCCCCTTCAGCCTTGAACCTTTGTAAAACCTAACATTTCCCTCATCACTGAGCCTGGTGGTTGGCGCAGTATGTAGTGGGCTTGCCCCTTGTTGTGCTCACCTCAATGAAAGGAGGCTTGCCCGTAGCCATCTCTATCACAGTACAGCCCAGGGACCAGATGTCAGCCTGTGGACACAAGGAACAACATGGCCAGTTTAATTTGGGGGGCGGGGTCTCCGAGACAACCAGCTCGTTCACACATAAACCAACATACCCACACACTATCGTTAAAAGGCAACAGACCCACACTGATGAGATAACCAAATCACACACACACATACGAGACGACAAATGCACCTACATGAGATAACATGACATACACACATTAGATTGCCAACATATCCACATACACATGAGATAACCAACTTTCCCACGCACATGAGATAACATACACACATCAGACAGCCAAACATCTAAAGAACACATGAGATAACATACACACATCAGACAGCCAAACATCTAAAGCACACATGAGATAACATACACACATCAGACAGCCACTGGGCACTCGTAACACAATAAAGCCATATAAGTTCCGAAAATTAGAGGTGTTACAAGAGAGTAACAAACACAAAAAAGGAGGGGAGATAGTAAATAGATATTAATAGGAAAGAAGGAGCAAACTACACCAGAGCACCCACCAACCCATGAGGAGTTTAATGAGGGGAACGCTTAGAGATCACCAACTCATTCACGCGTGAATTAACCGACACACACCCACACATTAAAGCCAACCAACTCACATATACATATGAGATAACATACTCATACACACACGTGAGATGACATATACACACATCAGATCGCCAACCAACTCACACACACATCACATAACCAACCACATAGATCAACTCATACAGTATCATACACACATGTGATTAGTAACTCATACAAACATTAGATCACCTACTCATGTATGAATATCAAGTGATGAATTCACACACACACACAAGACACACACACACGAGATAACAAACTCATACTCAAACACGAAGTAACACACACAGATCACCAACACACACACACAGATGAAGTGACCAACTCACACACACACACAAGAGACTACCAACACACACACACAGATGAAGTGACCAACTCACACACACACACAAGAGACTACCAACACACACACACAGATGAAGTGACCAACTCACACACACACACAAGAGACCACCAACACACACACACAGATGAAGTGACCAACTCACACACACACACAAGAGACCACCAACACACACACAGAAATGAAGTGACCAACTCACCGGCGGGCCGTAGCCTCGCGTCCCCTTGTCTATCACCTCGGGGGCCATGTACTGAATGGTTCCGGCAAACGTGTCTGCGCATGGGTTGATGCCCGACAGACGCTTGGAGGTGCCGAAGTCGGAGATCTTGAGGACCCCGCTGTACGTGTTCACCAGCACGTTGTCTCCCTTGATGTCGCGGTGGACGATCTTGTTGTCGTGCTGCGGGTGGAATGAGCAAAACGCAAGAACATAATTGTCGAGACTTAGCTGGATACATCCAGGAAGAGCAGACACACCCAATAAAATACCTTCCCCGTGTAGAAACTGAGCTCTCATCTTTTGAGCGTGAGTGTACAAGAAGTTCGTACAAGTGTTTCAGGTTGGTGTATGAGTGCGTGACCGTCAGTGTGAGTGTGAGTGATCATGTGAAGGAGGGAGGCCCAAGACAAGGAATAATGCGCACTTTTTAAATACCCATCAGTCATGTCATTTAAAGCATATGAGATTGAAAGGGATGTCAACTTTAAACAGTTTCTATTCAAACATTTTGTTTTTAAGCTGCGACATTCTGATTTTCAATTTGACCTCAGTATAAAGTGCATCTATCAAAACTAGGGCTCACCAGATATTTGAGGCCATCCAAAATCTGCTTGGTGTAGAAAGCAATCGTAGCTTCATTTTCTTTCAAAGGCCCCCATTTGGATCTCAGTAACTGAGACAGGCTTCCTGTAGACAAAATACAGGCACACAAGAATAAATGTCACTGGCCACTAATCACACCTAAGTATTATTGTGTAAATTTTTACACACACACATACACCTCCCCCTTCCGAAGTCAACACAATTCACACCAACTAAGAAGCGAGCTGCTTCCATTATGCCTGTCGGATCATAATCAGGCTGAATGGGATATAGCAGCCCAGAAGAAAGATGGCCATACTCAATGAAAAAAACCCTTCTCACACAAGAATCAACCCCCACTTCTTTCTTGGGTAAGAGTGAAAAGCCTAACCAAGTATGCAAATCTGTCGCCATTTATGAAAGTCGGAAAGTGCAAAGGAAACTGCCAAATGTTAAGCCCAGGTCTAATTAACCCCATACCAACTTTTAGCAGGATCTTCTAAACAGAAAGTAAATTATATATAACTTAGACAAAAGGACAAAAATTATCCAAAAAGCATCAACAGAAAGAGCATGTATACCAGAACAATCTGGGTTGTTTTTTTGTTTTTTTTTGGTAAGTTTTACGGCCCTTGCAACGCAATAAGGTAATATAAGTGCCGAAGATTAGAGGTTGTACAAGAAATACAAAAAAGAAGGGGGAGAGATGGGGACGATAGATATTTGATAGGAAAGGAGCAAACCACACCACAGCACCTGCCAACCAGCCACAGAACAATCTGTCATCTGTGATAAAAAAGTATGTAAGGAAGAACAGAAGAACTTCCAGCACAGCCCACACAAGCCTGGAGTCTCACCTCCTGGGACCTGCTCCATGAAGATCTTGAAAAAGCCCTCCTCGCTGACCGATCCCAGGTATCTGACGATGTTCTTGTGGTTGAGACGCATGTGGAGCTTGATCTCCTCATGCAGGGGCTGTACCTCTCTGTGGACGGGAAGGGGGGGGAGGGGAGAGAGAGAGAGACATGAACACAGGAGCACGTCAACACCTCTCCGGCATTAGAGATATCACCAATTTGTTTGTTTGTTTGAGTAAAGAGAAGCACAGTAATGGTTATTTAGTGCTGGTAAAAAGCAAAACAGGGGAACAGTAAGACAAACAGACAGAAACAGCAAAGGGAAAGTAAAGAAGTAGGACCTACCAGTGGTGCCCTCCAATCACCTGCAGATAGATTTCACCAAGCCCTTGAAGACTTCCCCAATCTTCCTTGAACTATTTGTGCCTTTCAAGCACAATGAATGTGGACAGGAAGCAGGAGACTATTTCAAACATTACAACATACACACCTTGACGGGACATTTCAACCAAGATGGGAGCTTGAAAAACAGTAAAACAAGTGTTTATAGTTTTGACTAGGAGAATAGAAGTTCTTTCTAAACTATAAGTGATGGGAATATTTCGGCTGGACACTAAAACTCAAATTCTTCTAACAGAGCAGGAAAGGAAGCAACCCTGCAGCATATCTTTGATCTCTATGTTGACATCTGGCTCAACACAGTCCAGCCCCGTGCCCAGGGGAAACACAACTGTTACTGTTACTCACTGCTGGTATTTCTCTGGCACTTCCTTGACCGCCACTTTGACCTGTGTCTTCTTGTCGCGCGCAGCATACACCGCGCCGTACGTGCCACGACCCAACAGGATCCGGTTGCCCTTCTCGTCAAAATCGTAGGCATACTGTTGGACGACATTAACTTTGTATTTGAAATACACACACACATGTTTCTCAAAACATTCCAAACTTTCATAGCCTGTACCACAATCTATAACACTGCATAGGATCAGTTTTTACAACAATAGTTGTTTTTTTTATAGTTTTATTACATTTTATAGTACTTGCAACACAATACGGTCATATAAGTACCGAAGATTAGAGGTGTTACAAGAGAGTAGCAAACACAAAAAAGGAGGAGGAAAGATAAGGACAATAGATTTTTTATAAGAAAGATGGAGCAAACCATACCAGAACACCCGCAACCACTCGCTTTACAACAATACAACATACGCAGTTAATTCATAGTAAACATTACTGTTATTTTGCATCAGAAGTCTGAACATTTCCCTTTACTTTCCACAATAAACTGCAACAATACATTTTATAAACAATAAGCATTTAAAAAATCGATACACAAAACAAAATCAAGATAAACAACCAGCCAAGTGGTGATGTGTCAACTCAACACACAACTTACATCTACAACATCATCTATGTCGTCCTCGTCAATGAGAATGTCCGGACTAGTAGCCAGCTCACTCATCATGGAGTAAAACCTGTCCGGGGGGG